CGCGGCCGGTGCTGACCCCGCTGTGTCCCGCAGGTGCAGGACAACGTGGAGCGGTTCTTCACGCGCTTCCTGGAGGAAGGCAAGGCCACCGTGCGGCTGCGAGAGCCTCCCGTGGATGTTTGTCTCAGCCAGGTGAGCGCGGGCTGTGCTGGGCTCGGGGCTGGGCTGAACAGACCCTGAGCTGCCACAATAGGACTTGGGAGGGACAGTAAAGTCACTCAGTTCCACCTCTGCCCTGGGCAGGGACACCTTCCACCAGCCCAGGCTGCTCCAAGCCCCATCCAGCCTGGCCTGGAACACTCCCAGGGATGGAGCAGCCACAGCTGCTCTGGGCAACCTGTGCCAGAGCCTCAGCACCCTCACGGCCAACAGTTCCTTCCCAATATTCCATCTATCCCTGCTCTCTGGCATTGGGAAGCCATTCTCTGTGTCCTGTACTTTCAGTTCCTTCCTTCCAGTTCCTTGTCCCAAGTCCCTCTGCAGCTCTCTTGGAGCTCCTTTAGGCACTGGAAGGGGCTCTAAGGTCTCCTTGCAGCTTCTCTTCTCCAGACTGAAGACCCCCAGCTCTCCCAGCCTAGCTCCAGAATTCTGGAATCCTTTGGTTGGAAGGACAAAGATCATCTCATCCCACCCCCTGCCATGGGCAGGGACACCTTCCACCAGCCCAGGGTGCTCCAAGCCCCATCCAACCTGGCCTGGAACACTCCCAGGGATGGAGCAGCCACAGCTGCTCTGGGCAACCTGTGCCAGTGTCACAGCACCCTTACAAGGAAGAATTTATCCCTAATATCAGATCTAATATTCTCTTTCAATTTGAGGCCATTCCTCCTTTCTGGGCTGTGGTTTCCGCCTTCTGCTCCCTCTGTCCATTTTCACATTGTTCTTCACAGCTTCTTTACAGAGAAACAACTTTTTCACCCCTCTGACACAATCTTCCTCTTTTGCCTTGAATTCCATGAAACAGCTGTTGCTTACAGTCTTCCTAATGGGAAAAACAAGGACACTAGGTAGAATTGTTTTAGTGGCCAAACCTTGTGCCCACTGTGGCTGTCAAGGCTGGACACACATGGTGTGGGTCAGGGTACAGACACCATCTCACCTTGATGAGCTTTCCCTCCCTGACAGTAGAATAGTGGATTTATGTATTTTACCAGTGTCTTTATTTACACCTCACAGGAGTTTTGGAAGCTGCAAAGTTTTTAAAGATGCTAAATGCAACCCAAAAAATCACATATTAACATTAAGTTTTAATGTCGTTTTTTTCTGTGCCTGTTGCAGGAATGTTTTGTGGCAGAGGAAGGTGAGAGGTGTTCTCGAGCCTCAGAGTTCCTCTCTGAAACCTTAGCATGTGCAAATAAAAGCAAATGATTGCTAGTTTGGGAAATCCTTTTGCCTCTCTGTGGCCTGAGGAAAGCTGCTTTAAATGTTCTGAACCGGTTAAATGGTTAAATAGAAAAACAGGAGTTTAAATCCAATTATTTTTGCTGCCAGAAGCCAAGTGCTCTGTAACTTTCCCAAAAGTAACCTATTGTATGAGGCACCAAATCCAGGATCTCTTCTGCTTCCTTTGCTCTGAATTTTCCTGCTGCAGAGTGAGAAGTCAAAACGTTTTTCTCAAAATGCAACAGGTTTCTCTTAAATTCTCCAAATCTGGAGCCTAAACCTAAGATGTTTCATAACTTTCCTGTAGTGTTTCTGCCACTTTTGTATTATTTCCTTACAGAAAAGCTTCTTAACTGTCAAAGAGGCACAAAATCTTTTGTAGAACAGATTTCCAGGCATTACTACACCTCTTGCCATGCCAGGGAGTGACTTCCTGCACTCAGCCATGGCAGGATGAGTTGAGAAACACCAGCCTGGAGCATCCAGCCCTGGAGCAGCAATAACAGACCTGCAGTGTTTGGGGTTGTGTTTGCCCTCAGCAGGTCTGTGCCTGCTGCTCTACCCTGGCACCACCCCCAGAGCTCTGAGACTCAGGAGGTCCAACACAGCTTGAACCCTTGCCCTGACATCTTTGCTCTAGTTAAGACTTCAGACTTGGGGCAGGAAATTGCCTCCTGAGCTCTTCCAGCTAATTGTTTGCATGTCTTTCCCCATAGATATGTCTCATTATTTTCCTTAACACATTCAGGGTCTCCCCACAGGTTTACAGATACTGCATGGCCCTGATGAAGGTCTTGTGCAGGAAACTGTGGTTCATGCTTGAGAGCCAAGAAATACTCCTGTAACTTCATTCTGATGTACAGATGTTTATTTTCCTTGGTCCTTACAGATGTGGAGGAATTTTTTTACTTGATTCCAGTTTTAGTTAGCTCAGAAACATGACAAATCTGCCTATAATTAGGGGAAATTCTATACCTAAGTGGTTTAGGTAGATTGGCTGAGAATTAATAGAATCCCGGAATGATTTGGGTTGGAAGGACCTTAAAGCCCATCTCATCCCACTCCCTGCCATGGGCAGGGACACCTTCCACCAGCCCAGGTTGCTCCAAGCCCCATCCAGCCTGGCCTGGAACACTCCTAGGATGGAAAGTCACAGAGTGATAACCTCTTGGCCCCCAAAGCTGTGCCAAAACTCCAGGCTTGTTCTTTCCTATTACTTCCACGGATTCATCCTGCTTTTTAGTTTAGAATTCACTTTTTAGCCTGGAATCTCTCACCTGCACATCAGCACAGGTAGAGACTTGCTGGAAAAGCTAGAAGAGAAATATTTGTTCACCTTCCTCTTCATGAGAGTGAATTCTGTCAGTGCAACAGATGCATCACAGTTTCTGGAGCTTTGTTAATGCACAGCTCACCTGGTACTCCAGGAATTTCACTCTCTGGCCTTTGATGACTTCCCACTGCCAGAGGGAAGGGACAGGTGGGATACTGAGAAGGAGTTCCTGGCTGTGAGGGTGCTGAGACACTGGCACAGGTTGCCCAGAGCAGCTGTGGCTGCTCCATCCCTGGGAGTGCTCCAGGCCAGGCTGGATGGGGCTTGGAGCAGCCTGGGCTGGTGGAAGGTGTCCCTGCCCGTGGCAGGGAGTGGGATGAGATGGGCTTTAAGGTCCCTCCAACCCAAATCATTCTGGGATTCTGTGCCCATTGTATTATGTCCCACCCAAAGCAAAATTGGTTGGTTGGTGCAAATCATTTTCCTCTTGTTTACTGTTGGCACAGCCAGAGCTCTGTGGCCACTAGCACTGACGACCTGCCTTGAAGCTTTCCATCTTCCTTATGTTGCATTTCACCCAAACTTCTGTCCTTTTCCCTCCTAGCAACCTCCAGAAATTATTCCCTGAGGTTTCAGCCCTCTGATTTCCCTGTGTGTGTTTATATCTGTCTCTTTATCCTGCTGCACTTCAGGGAGATTCCAATGATCAGGGTTTGTTCTGGACTTTATTTTCAGCTGTGAATTCAGTGCTTTGTCCCTTTCCTGAGCACTGCAGCACGGTCCGATCTGGATTATTCCCAGAGGTCCTATTTGTTCTTCTTAAACAGTCAACAGGGCTGTTCCCTCTCCCATTCCATGGCCTTGTGGAGGTAGTTCCTGATACACACAGAGGCTGATACCCACACAAATAGCTCAGGAAGTGTCAGTAACAAATGAGCACAAGGATAATGAACTCTTAACTCCATATCCATGTTCTCCTGCAGGCAAATGTCAGCAACTTGAAGACCTTCCTGTCAGCTGTGAGACTGGCACACCAGGGCTCTGAAGCAGCAGCTCTCCCTCTCTCCACCCTTGTCCCAGCGAAGAACTCTGAGGTGGAGAAACCCAAGACCAAAATGATCATCACTTCAAGAAGAGACTATCCCCTCACCAAAAACTTCCCTTACTCCCTCGAGCACCTCCAAACCTCCTACTGCAAGCTGGCCAGGATTGACACTCGTGTGCTTGGCTTGAAGAAGCTCAGAAAACTGGACCTGAGTCACAACCACATCAAGCAGCTTCCAGCACCCATCGGCGACTTGGTGTTCCTGCAGGAGCTCAACCTGCATGACAACCACCTGGAGGCCTTCAGTGGGGCCCTGTGCAGCTCCAGCCTGCAGAAGTCCCTGCAGTTCCTGGACCTGAGCCAGAACCAGCTCCAGGCCCTCCCCATGGAGTTCTGCCAGCTGCAGGGGCTGGTGAATGTCAAGCTGGATGACAACCAGCTGGTCAGGCTGCCCTGCAAGATCGGCCAGTTGAGTTGCCTGCGCTTCCTCTCAGCAGCTCGCAACAAACTGCCCTTCCTGCCCACTGATTTCAGGAAGCTGTCCCTGGAGAATCTGGATCTCTTTGGGAATCCCTTTGAGCAGCCTAATCCGCTGGTGCCCAATATTCAGCTGAAGATCCCGTTGACTCTGTTGGAGTGTGCTGCCAGAGCCACCATCAATCACAGGTAAGAGCTGTGTGAGGGACACTCCCTGCACCTCTCCAGCCTCACCTGCCCTGACTTGGCTGTTTCCCCTCAGTGCCTGTTGCTCATCACCTGTGCAAAATCACAAGCTTCAAATGCCTTTCAATTCCACTTGTCATCATACAGGATAAGGCAGGAAGTTGGTGACTTGGAAGCATTTAGGCACTGGAATGTGCTGCCCAGGGAGGTGGTGGAGTCACTACCCCTGGAGGTGTTTAAGGAGACACTGGACATGGCACTTAGTGCCATGGTCTGGTTGACATGGTGGTGTTAGGTCACAGGTTGGACTTGGTGATCTCAGAGGTCTTTTCCACCCTGATTGACTGTGATTTAGGGAAAGCTGAGGCTGAAATGTAGGTAGGTTGAAATGTTTTAGCCACAAAACGTGGATATGCCTTAACAGAATATTTTGGTCAACTTTGAGACAAGACAATCACTTCCACAAGCCTGAGCTCCTCGTGCTGCAGGCTTCTCCCTGCCATGGGCTCCTCATTCCCTTTGGTGCTGGAGTGAGGCTGTTCTGGCTTAGCAGAGAAGCCAGTTTGGAGGTAATGTAAACATCATTATCTCACCAAGTAAACATCCTCTCAGGTTGTTTGTTATCATCTCCATCCTCTTCCCCCACACCACGTCCCTGGGATCCTTCACGTACCAGGACTCTCCAGGTACCAGCTGCTGCTGCTCCCACCCTGTTCTGGGTGGAAAGGCAGCAGGATGGGAATTTGGCACAGAAAGGGGTGAGTGACAGGCTTGAAGCATCCCTAACCTCCACTGTGTGCCCATTCCTGCCCTGGGGGTGGGGAGTGCCCCACAAGCACTGGTTAATCCTGCAGAAATCTGTGCCAAAGGCACACAGGGCACACCCTAAGGGAGCTGAGCCACCACATGTCCTGGCCAAATCACCCACTTGGTGATTCCATTAATTAACCCCCAGTGTTTCCTGAACCAACTGTATATACATTGAAATGGGTTTGATGGAAATACTAGGGCATGGGAGAGTTTTTTAGGATATAATCCCTCAGCACTGGTCAGATATTGTTGTTCAGATACTGTCAAAGCCTTGAGAAAGGGCCAAAACAGGAGGGAAGATGCAAAATAAATGTCTGGAAATCACAGTGAGTTTCACCAGAGCTGGGATTGTGCTTTTCCTGCCTGGAAAAAAGGGTGTCCTGAAATTGAGGTGGTGAAAAACAAACCCCACAGGAGTCTCGGCTAGGTGAGTGATGGTATGTGGAAAGAATTGGGAATGTGGAGGTGTAGGCAGGATGTGAGTCAGTGGGATCTGTGTAAGCCTGGAGTGCACTGGGGATGGTCACTGGAGTTCCAGTTGGGCAGTGGGATGCCCACTGGAGTGCTAGTTGGGCACTGGGATGGGCACTGAAGTGCCGTCTGGGCAGTGGGAATGGCCACACTTGAAGGTAACTCCACAGAGGACGCCGAGTTACTCCTGTTGTGCCCCAAACTCGGCACTGCTCTGCTGTGCATTTCCAGGCAGCAGTTCCCATTCCTGCCTCTGGATGTCGGTGCTGGCACAGTGGATGGGAAGAGCCGTGTGGCGAGGGAGGCTCAGTTCGGTGCCTGCAGTGTAGTGCCGCAAAGGGCTCATCTTATCTCCTCTCTCCTCGCTTCGTGTTAGAGAGGGAGGAGTAACCTGTGGGTGCTGTGTCAGGCCAGGCAGTGATGAGATGCCACAGTGATCTCCCTGACTAATGTGAGGGAAGGACAGAATGTGCCCAGTTGTCTCATCATTCCTAATCTTCCCTTAATTCCTTAATTCTCATTATTCTTAATCTCTTTAGTTCTCTAACTCGCTGTGCCTCAGGCTGTCAGGGCTGGCATGAGCTCCTGGCTCTTGTGGCAGTGTCCTCTGCAGCTCAGCTCCTTGGTGCTCAGGGGTGGGTGATGTGGGGCATGTTTTAGTGACTGGAAATGGGGTTTAATTCCCAGCCTGTCCAAAATCCCAGATTTTCCTTGTCTGTGCTCTTGGAATGGGATCTCTCCCAGCTGGTGTTTGTGGTCCGTCCCTGCCTTTGAGTGACACAAAGTGTTTGAGTGATACAGGTTCATTTTGTAGTAAATTCACACTCCTCTCATTCCACAGAATCCCTTATGGATGTCACCTCCTTCCTTCCCACCTTTGTGAAGACCTGGAAGTGGCTAAGACCTGCCAGTGTGGAAGTGCCTGTCTGAGCAGCTTCATCCAGATCACAGTGACCATGAACCTCCACCACGTGGCTCACACCGTGGTGCTGGTGGACAACATGGGAGGCACAGAGGCTCCAATCCTCTGCTACTTCTGTTCCCTGGACTGCTATTCCCAGTTCCTGGATAGGCACCTCCAGAGCAATGGGTGAGCACTGGTGCCAAAGCTCTGCCCGATGTTCTGTCCAGGATGGAGGAGCCTGAGGCTGATTCCTGCTCATTGCCCACATGTTGGCTGTGAGGGCAACGTCACTCTTGCAGTGACACCATCAGCCTGACCCAGTGCCTGAGTGTCCTCTGCCACTGGAATGTCCCCTTGGTTGGAACAAAAAGTGATGCTTAGCTTGGACAGATCTTCCTTAGAATGTATTGCCCTTTCCTGTTCCCATTGCTGAGGCTTTGCTCTGAGCACCATGGCAGTTCCCTGTGGTTTATGGAGTAAGTGGTTCCTTCTTGCAGGAAGGTGAGTTGATCCCAAACTCACTCCCACACGAGGCTCTGAGCTCTGCCCGGGGCGGTGACTGCATTGGCACCAGACTCACCTCTTCCCAACCTTTTTACTGTAGAGGACAAATGACACTCCAAACTGTCCTGTAATTCCAGGTGCTGCTTTTTAAAGATTCTGTTACAACATTCCCACTTGGAGCAGGGACCAGCACTGCTGGGTTTTTTTACCAGAGCAGCTGTTTTGGGGGGGTTTATCTCTTTGTGATACAAGAAATCTCTTTTTCTATGTATGTGCCCAAAAATATTTCTTAACTGTGATATTCTAACAACTCTTGAACTGTTCACTGTGTTGACTTATTAAACTTTGTAGCCTTTCTATGGACATGTGGGTTGTGTTTGCTCTAAGGAGATTGATTCCAGAGTATTCCAGGGATTAGCCTTTTCCTGGTGAAGACACCAAAGTGAGTGTATCCACAAGCCTTTATTTCATGTCTTGTCAGCTGCTCCAGGGCTGAGGGGTTGGAACAGCATGGAACAAAGGTCCTTTGGGAAGTTCTTAGGCATCCCATGCTCTGGAGCATGTGATGGATGGAGGGAGCACAATGCACTGTTATTTTTGAAGTGGTGTTGACTGCCTGCCAGGGGAGGTTTGGATTGGGTAGCAGGGAAAATTTCTCTGTGGAAAGGGTTGTCCAGCCCTGGCACAGCTGCCCAGGACAGTGGTGGAGTCACCAGCCCTGGTGTGTGGATGTGGCACCTGGGGCATGGTTAGTGGTGGCCTTGGCAGTGCTGGGGCAGTGGTTGGGCTTGATGATCTTAGAGAGCTTTTGCAACATAAATGATTCAGTGATTCCATGAAACACACTCCTGTGGAAAAATACCTTTAGGGTGGAGCACATGATTAAGAGGAGGGAAGTGGGGTAGGCACAGAAATTTGGCCTCCCGTGGGACTCCTCAGGAATTTGGATGCAGACATTGGGGTGTCTGCAGTGGCCCAGAACCTCCTGGGCAGCCAGGTGTGCTGGGGGAGGAGGATTCCCCACGCGTGGGAGCCTCCCAGGGGAGCCAACTGGGCTTCTCTGCAGGGAATGTCATCTCCAGACTGACTTGGCTTCCCTTAATCCTGTGAAACCACAGAGCTGGCACAGTGTGAGGGGTGGGAAGGTGCTGGAGCTCTTTGCAGAGGTTCTTCCCCAGCCATCACAGAATCCCAGGCTGGTTTGGGTTGGAAGAGACCTTACAGCTAATTTTGTTCCACCCCCTGCCATGGGCAGGGACACCTTCCACCAGCCCAGGGTGCTCCAAGCTCCATCCAACCTGACCTGGAACACTTCCAGGGATGGAGCATCTTATTCATCCAATCCTACCGTTATTCTTCAAATCTAGAGTTAATTTATCATATATGTATTACTCTCCCCAATCCAGGATGGTTTCCTTATCCCACCACTGCAATTCCAGAACCATTTTCTCCTATTTCTCCCAATCCCAAAGGATTTGGCTCCCCCATCCTCTCACACCCCTCACACTCTCACATGCCTTCAGTAAGGCTCAGTGCTGGTCCTGCCCTTGGGACACAACAAGCCCAAGCAGCTCTAGGCTGGGGAGCAGTGGGGACAGAGGTGTTGGTCACAAAGGGCCTTGGCAGTGCTGGTGGCACAGCTCAGTGTGAGCCAACAGTGTGCACAGGTGGCCAAGGGCACCTTGGCCTGGCTCAGCAGAGTATGGCAGCAGGACTAGGGCAGTGCTCATCCTCCTGGACTGGGCACTGGGGAGGTCCCAGCTCAGTGCTGTGCTCAGCTTTGGGCACTCACTGCCCAAAGGCCATTGAGGCACTGGAGCGAGTCCAGCCAAGGGCAACGAGGGCAGCAAAGGGCTAGAGCACATGGGCAAGGGCTGAGGGAGTTGGGCTTGGTCAGCCTGGAGAAGAGCCTCAGGGGTGACCTCCTGGCTCTCTGCAACTCCCTGACAGGGTTGGAGAGAGGTGGGGGATGTCTCTCCTGCCATGGCTGCAGGGAGAGGACTAGAGGGAATGGCCTTGAGCTGAGACAGGGGAGAGTCAGAGGAGATAATCAAAAACATTTCTTCCCTGTGAGGGTGTTCAGGCACTGGAATATTGCCCAGGGAGGTGGTGGAGTCACCATCCCTGGACGCTGGAGGATCTGGTTTAGAGGTTCCAGCAGTGACAGGTTAACGGTTGGACCTGACGATCTGAGAGGTCTCCTCCAACCTTGC